GAAATAGCCTCAAATAGGTCTTTAGCCTTTGGAATATCAGTCTTGACCGTCAGGTGGCAAGATTACTCTCAAGCTGCTTCTTTTTTTCCCCATGCTACAACAAATTTTCGAACAGGTGCAGGTGACCACTGATCCAGGCCTGCAACCCCCTTTTTTCTCTGGGTGCCTATTTCCCCCGTGCACCGCATAGATCCCGTGCACTCGCGCGCCGTAAGTGCCCAATTGCCTGCACGGCGTGCGCTTGCATGTACGCTACACGGTTTTCCTCAGGGACCCTCACATACACATGTGATAAGATCACTCCCAAGGAGACTCAACGCTCACTCCCAAGGAGACTCCGGAAATGAAAGATGCCGACCAGCAAGGTCTGTGATCGACTTAGCCTCTCCAATTCCGCGAGCTCCAAGTCTCACCCTCAAGTACGAGGCAAGGCTGATTTCCGTGAAGATCAAATGTGCAAATGGGGCTGAAATAGAAGCTTGTTGATCAGTGCACTGGTCAGGGCAGTGCAAGCATTCAGATTAGCATCAGACATGAAGTTCAATTGGAACACGATGATAGGGTGATTGTTAGCCAAGGAGGCCATTCCCCTATCAAAAGGCATAGAGACTATTAGAGAGTCAAATGGCATTGGAAAGGTAGGAGACTCTGACAAGATACTGGGTAATTCAAGTAACAAAACTGTGGTACCTACTCGCAAATACAATCAACAGAATGGGTGAGTGGGATCAACATTTAGTTGCCTAATGGGACGAGCTCTGACTATCAACACATCCCTCTTTTCCATGACATGGTACATAGCCGCTGTATGGACACTCTCAGTCCATGCCAAATCAGGACGACCGTCTTCACCCAAATAGTGAGCGACCGGTCATTGTCGCTGAATCTAGACTGAAAATCGCCCTAGATACAGCCCAAATGACAGGGTGTTCTATTCGGGTCAAGATGATAGGCAGAAAAGTAAGAGCATATTTATGGTCTGGAGACCAAAACAAAGAGAAATATATACCTAAGATTGCATGCCCGTATATCACACACAGGCCTTCTGCTGGTGGTTGGGGATACTGCATCCGAGAGCGAAACAAGAGCTCTTCAGGTAAAATGGATCATTAAACCACCAGTAGCTTTCCCCGCTTGAAATCTACGACGCGCCAGGTAACGCGGTAGCCAAGCGGGGGAGGCCCCCCATTGATAAATCGAATCGGCGGCCCGTTTTTCGTTTCAGGCCTCACATGGCAAGAGACAGCATCAGACAATTGGCCCCTATAGCATCCCCTTCCAATATGTCCGAGCTATTTGGGGTCATGAGCAAATTGTCGAGTCCGAAGACAGGCCATAACAGAGAGGTGAGAGGGGCTTCCCCCCACGATAACCAAACACCTCTACCCTTTTGGACAGCCTTACTCAGAATCCGGAGGGAAAAAATGCCTAAAAAACGCAAACCCATCTCCAAAAAAGAGGTTCGGTCCTCCGGGACATCTGTTAAAGTTGGAGCAATACAGAGAAGATTAGCATGGCCCCTGCGAATGGATGGCACGCATAAATAGAGAAGTGGTTCAGATGGTCTAGAAAAAGAAACGAGAAGATGTCCAGAGACACGCGGTTCAGGAACCCATCAGTGATGGCAACCACCCATGGTTGGCTTCGGTGTTCGTCACGATGATCTGCGAGGCTTTATCAAAAAGCTGCTCACTTGTGGCGAGCGTCTCGGCAACTTGCGTCAAGGCATTCTGCAACGACGAAGAACTCCTGATGAAGAAGTGTTTGATGGCGACGAAGGTCGACGGCAAGTTGGGCGTGGATGCCAAACGTTGGTACTCGGTTATCCAGTCTGTGCTTGGCAGGTCGTTCTGATAGAACCGTTGAAGTTTCTCGGCTGCCTGAAGCTCGGGTGGCTCCACTTGGAACCGCTTATGCCATGCTGCCTTGATATCAGCCCAGCTGATCTTCGTATGCAGCTCGGAGACTGCGACGTTGTACTGGGACAACATGTTGTCCGGCCATGCCTGGCACGCGCCCCCTGAGCGGGAGTATAAGTATGGACTGGCTGCGGCGGCACAAATCTGCTGGTCAACCCGCTGATTTGTTGCTAGAGCGCCGTCCTTGAGAGTCTCGACGTCGATTTCCAAGACGTTGACGCGGTCCGTCAAGTTGGAGGGTCCAGCGGGGGTGGCTGTTGTTGGCTGCTGTTCCAGCCGGCGTACCCGGTCAAGCAGTTCGTCAATAAGTCGAGCCTGCTTCCAAACCAGGGTGTCCACGCAGAGGATGTCCTCTTGCTGTGCTGCACAGGTGGCGACCAAGTCGCTCACATGTTCGATTGTGGTTGCAAGGCCACCCACAGCAGGGGGGGCACCCTCCTCTTCAGCAGCCACTGCCCATTCGCCGCCGATCACCTCGATGTCCCCCTCGCATTCGAGGATTTTGTCACGGCGTTCGTCTGCGGCCTTCCTTGCTGCCTCAGCGTTCTCCTGTCGCTGCTGTTCAGCGAGGCGACGCTGTTCCTTCGCTTCCTAATCTTCCTTCTTACGTGCAGATGTTGCCGTAGCTGCCCGTTGCTTGAACTCTGCTACCATGTCCAGCATGCGGGTCTCATAGGCCTGATCTGACACGTATCCGAGCACCGCACGTGAATCAGGACAACCTGATCCATATGTAACAGTTGGTATCGGAGCACCGCACGTGAATCAGGACAACCTGATCTGACACGTGTGCGGGGACTAGGTAGCTGATTAGTCTTGATTGATTGATGCTGTGCCTGCAACAGGCTGCACGGGCCATTTTCAGGCCCGTGTCGTTTTCAACCCAAAAGCCGGAAAACAAGGGCCTACAGGCCCTGTGTCGTTTCAGCCTGAAAGCCTGAAAACAAGGGCCTACAGGCTATGAATCCCCCTCGGCGGCGGCCATCCGCGGACAAGTCCGCGGCCGCGGCCTAGGCCGCGACCCCGCGGACGTGTCCGCGGTCTGCGGCCATGAAAAAAAAAAAAAAAAAGAATTCAAAAACTTCTGAAAAAAAAAATGTTATGCAGAAAAATATACTGAACAACTTTTGCCTTGTGGTCATATCCAAAAACGTAACTGAATTTAAAATAAAAAATCACATACGTTTCATGTTTTTTTTTTGGAAAAAAAACAAACAAACAGCTTTTGCCTCAGGAAATTTAGTTTTTGAATTTTTAAAATTCGCAGACGAAGTCAAAAGATAAAATAAAAAATTGCGCAATTTAGATCTCGAAAAGATCTACAACCCCATTATTTTTGTTTTTGTTTTTGATAAATTTTTAAGGTTACAAAAAAATCCTGAAAGTCGCGGCCGCACCCAACCGCGGCTGGAGCCGCGGCGGCCGTGTTCACGTCCGCCCTCCGAGCTTGACCCTGCGGACGCGTCCGCAGGTGTTTCATAGCCTACAGGCCCTGTGTCGTTTCAGCCTAAATCAGGGCCTTTCCGGCCCTGAGTCTTTTCAGACTGAAACTGAGGGCCATTTTCAGGCCCTCATAAGATCGACCTGCCCTGAAACTCAGGCACCAGACCAGGGTTTTAGCTCAGGCCATTTTTGGCCTATTTTCAAGATAACCTTCGTTTGAGCTTCAACCCCAGGGTCTTGCACGTTTTGGCATAGGCAAGAGCAGCCTCCTGGACGGGCCAGCACTATATAAGACTGGCCCGCATTGCAGGCTGCAGGTAGTTCCTAGGTACTTCCCAGGAACTTCACATGCAGTTCAGGAGGCAGGAGGTAGTCTTCAGGATTCGGCAGCAGTACTCTGGAGGAGCACTGCAGGAGTAGCGTTAGCAGTAGTCTGAAGCGCTGGGCGCTAGAAGCGTTAGCTGTAGTCTTCAGCGCTGGGCGCCATAGAAGCTAGAGTAGTACTATAGAGAGAGAGATTGGGCGGAGGCCAGGGGCACTTACCTGCAGCGCCATCGCTCCAGCTTCGTCTTCCAGGTACCTGCAGCACAGCGCCACCTTCACAGGTTAGTACCTGGCATATGAGAGAGAGAGAGTTCTTCTTCTTCCTCTTCTCAGTCCACCATCTCCCTCTCACCCTCTCGTTATCTGACTTCACTGCATCGGCAGACTATGAGAGAGAGAGAGAGAGAGAGAGAGAGAGAGAGAGAGAGACAGAGAGAGAGCTTGGTGACATTTTGATCCAGACTCGACATTGGACTTCAGACATTTTGACGAGGGATTATTTGGGACTCGTAACGAGACTTGGTGTTGACGACTTTCCCATCTCTCCCCTCCTCTTCTCCGTCTGATCCCCTCCTCTTCGTCTGTGCATGAACTGGACCTGGCACCTCTTCCTGTGTATAGCGCCAGGCTCCCTTCACACCGTGTGGTGAGAATGATGTATGTTTGGTCTGCGTTGTAACATTGATTGGGCTAGTCATTAGTATTCTAGTATTCTGCTGCGCTATCTTGTACTACGTGAAAGAGGTCAGTCCCGGTCAGGTCAGGACTTGTATCTAAGTCTTCCACTGCGCTGTAAAGCACCACTTGGTAGGATGTACACTGCTTGTTGAGATTTCGCTTGCACTGCATTGTCCATTCAGTCCACGGGAGAGAGAGAGAGAGAGCTTGGTGACATTTGGATCCAGACTCGACATTGACTTCAGACATTTGACGAGGGATTATCTGGGACTTGTACCGAAGACTTGGTGTTAACGACATTCCCGTCTCCCCTCTCTTCTTTGTCTGATCCCCTCCTCTTCGTCTGTGTATGGTCTGGACCTGGCGCCTTCTTCCTGTGTGTAGCGCCAGGACCCTCCCCACCTTGTGATAAGGATGATGCATGTTTGGTCTGTATTGCGACATTGATTGGGCTAGTAATTGGTATTCTAGCATTCTGCTGCACTATCTTGTACTACGTGAGGGAGGTCAGTCCCGGTCAGGTCAGGACTTATATCTAAGTCTTCCCCTGCGCTATAAAGCACCATTTTTGTATGCATCAGGATGTACACAGCTTGTTGAGATTCTATTAGCATTGCATTGTCCATTCAGTCCTTTTCATCACATTGCGGATCCTTGGTTATATATGTACATCGCCCAACTGGGCATGTAACACTCTGTCTGTGTGCAGTGTGTACTCTGTCTCCTCTCCCCTTCTTCTTATGCACGTATGGGCGTGCGTGAGATTGTCTGCGTGTGAGTGTTGGTGAAAATCGACAGACAACCAAGTTCATAACACTGGCGCCCAGGCTCAGACCTTCGATTTTCAGTTCGGCCCCGAGGCAAATTGCACTTCTGCCCTCGGACTCAACTTGAGTCCGGTACTTAAGACCGGACTCAAGCTGCGTTCGCGGGATTCAGTTTTCGGCCTCAGTGCTTGTGCTTCAGTGTGACTTGCTGCGACATTGTGTATGGAACCAAGTTTGCGACTTTGCGACTTTGCCACTTTGCCACTTTGTGTCTGGTGTCCGTCGAGTCGTGTCGAGTCTGTGTCGAGTCTGTGTCGAGTCGAGTGAGTGTGTGTGTGCTCTCACTCCCTCCCTCTCTCTTCCCCGACCTCGCTGCTCTACCTCCGCCTCGTCACATTACGATTCGGAGGGGTATCACCTCAGCCAAAATGACGTTTTACATCACATATTTGTGTTTTTGAATTCTTTGACCTCTTTTTCGCATCTTTTTCTTTGCTTCTACATGCTGTGCAACAAACATGTGCAGCCTGGCATGTGCATGCATGTACGCAACCATACGCATGGTATGATCCCCACACATTGATTAAGGGTGAAGTCAAGCAGTGATAACTGGAATAAAGTTGTTGGGATGCAGAAGTTCGCGCTTCTCAACTTGACAGCTTGGGAGGTGAGGAAGGAACAGAAAGAGGAACACATACCGGAATATGACAGAGTACGACATTAGCAAGAACATCCCGTGCTTCGTCGACCTGCATAACAGAGTCATTCGCATTTCTGTTTAATTCCAAGTCAGATAAAAGAGTGCAGGAAACAGCAGGCATAATGCGACAGCCTAATTAATCTGAAAATTACCATTTCTTCCCGGTCAGCCGCAAATGGGCACTAGAATGCAAGCACACAGGGGGCGTGAATCTGTTTTTATGAAAAGCAGCTTATGGTTGCCATTGTCGAGACATCATCCCAAAAACTTGTCGAGTCATCTTTCTATTACGGCCAAAAGGTTTTCAGAGCATGGTCTCTGGCGGCTGTATTTCAGAGCACAGCTAAAACATGCTGCACCTAACAACTGGATACGGGTCTGCCGCCTGTAATGGGGCCGAAGCATTTGTCGGTTCACAGCACTCCAGACTATCTTTCCTGAATTACTCATGGAAAAGAAACTGCTGCTGCCCCTCCCCCAAATAGAGTAAGCCATGCCCCTTACAATTACGATCGATTGTTTTTCTAAAAAGTAACCAACGAATAATCTACTGAAAATCACAGAAAAAAAACTTAAAAACGCCATAGCTGGATCTGGAAGCAAAAGTGATGATTTCTTGATCTTTTTTTTGAAGGAAACAACAAATAGTCAGCCAAGAACAAAAAGCAAAAAGGTCATAGCTGGGTCTAGAGACTCTTAGACTCTAGATACAAACTCACTTTCGATTTCTTGATCTTCACCCACATAGCGCGGTTTGTTTTGACCTGTGCTTCACATGAGACAATAGAAAAAGGAATACACAACCACCACCACTTTAGGAGTTCCTTTATCAGAAATGGGATTGTGCAGTCACTGACTGCTGATGTCTTTTCAAGCATACTCACATGAGGATTTTCCTGGACGTGTTGGACATCAATTAAGGTCAAATAGTCTTGAGAAAGTCCTGGTGAAGTATGCCGTTAGCTACCAGGAATAGTTGAACTTAGTTCATGACACTGCAAAACTATGAACATGCCCGTGAATGTTAAAGCGCCTGAATGTGATGAGCAACAGAAACTTCCAGCAGGTCAAGGGTCAAAGAGGCAACTAGAGCCGCCAGATGTCAAAAGAAGGCCCTAAGAAAAATAACAGTCAGACTAACACAGGCACAGAAGTTAGGGACTCATGAGTCAACCATGGTCACAGACCTCAGACACATCCAAAACCTCACAGCAATATCCAAGAAGCTTCCAAGACCCACGAGGTCCAGGCACACACATCAAGAAATTTCAGCCCTTCAAGGACACGAGAGGCAGGCCATGCTGTGCCAACAGTATATAAGAGAGACCTGCCCCAGCCCATGGATTCATCCTGCCTTGCGTTCAGGCTGAGCTGCTGCCAAGAGTGAGAGAGAGAGTGAAAATAGCCATACCTAGAGTAGAGGGCGCCCTGTGCCATAGTTTAGGCGTAGAGAGAGAGAGAGAGAGAGGTTGAGGGCGATCATACCTGTGAGTTGAGAGAAGGAAGAAAGGCTTACCCGTCCTACCTGTTGTTACTGGCAATGACGAGGCAGCAGCTCATTTCTGAGAACCTGCTGTACGCATGGCTGAGGTGTGAGCATGGTCGCAGGACCTGCTGTATGATCCTGTTCATTTGCTCTGTCTGGCCATCACTCTCCAGATGGTGGCAC